ATAATGCTGGACATAAACACTCTTAGGTGGCATCAGAACAAGAAGTGCAGTCTGACAGCCATTCACATTCTGGGCAGAGAGAATGTGATAGGAGGTGTTCTATCCAGGGAAAAAAACCTATGGGAGGAAGGAATGTTGAACAAACCATTTCACAGGTTGTGTCAGCTCTTGGGGACTCTCAGCTTCCACCAGTTTCTCAGTAAAGGCCATCACCAGTTCAGAAAATTTTGAAAAGAAATATTTCTCCACAATGTTCTCTTTCTGTTATCTCATTAAGCTGATGTATTCCTAAAGAACCCATCATCCCCAACGGCATGGTGATGATGTCAGACAGAAGAAATTTGCTTGATGAACTTTGTGCACTTACCAGTCTAGACCAATTCTAATTCAGTTAAACAGAATGGATTTTAATTATCTTACGGACTCAAGCAAGATTATGGCAAGAAAATCAATGCATAGTTCAGAGAAAATCTTGCCAAAAATTTTTGAAAATTTCTACTCTGCTGCAGGTGGATAATGGAGGATACTCTATTTCTAGGATCATTCTTGTCTAGAAATGGACACTATAAATGTTCAAGTCACTACAGACTTGTTATGTGAATGCGTTCAGTGGGCAAACACAAGAGTTAACAGTATTTGTAGAGATTCTGTAACACTGTAATATTTATTCCTAGGACTTGCATGCAGGACTGCATCAGTTGTGATGCAAATGTATTTTTGTTGTGATGATGAAGAAAGAATTATTTTATTTTTAAGTTAAATTTAAGTATCATTTTTTTTCATGAAGATACATTAGAGTCCTTTTATACTATTAATCTATATCCCAGATTAAAACAGTGTTGTTCTAGAGAGAAGACTGGTGGGCAATATTGGTCCTGGAGGAAACTCTCACAATTGTGCTGAAGTTTCCTTTTACCTTCCTCCAAGGACGTGCCTTTTTGTTTGTTAGTTGTTTGGGGGTTTTTGTTTGTTGTTTGGGGTTTTTTTATTATTTTTTGTTTATTCTATTTTATCCATGCTATTGTTAATAAGGCAACCGTATATGCAGAAATGGCTCTTCTATGTGATGTAGGTGTGAACAGCAAGCAAATGTGCTGAAAGAAAGATGCAAGGTACAATGATAGAGCAAAAACTCAACAAAGCTATTGAATTTGGAGATACTCAATCCCTTGAAGCTTTTAGATAAAGACGTGAAAGTGTAGATTTATGCTAAAACAAGAAAACACAGACAGGAAAAAAAAGAACAAAAGGAAAAGAAATTAAAAATTCCTGGGAAAATCTAACAAAGACAATAGTTAATGAGTAACCACAAAAAAGTCCATAACTCTGTATTTTTTACTGATTGTAAGGTAAACATATGCAGGATTCACTAAGAATCACATCTCGCTGTTTTACTGCTCCCTTAGAGATATTGTTGTTTATGGTTTATGGTATAATTTTCAGCTTTGGATACCTCTTAAAGAAATACAGAATATTGCTGTTATTCTTAAACCATACCAAACAAAACAATTATTCTGTTGTTTAAATTTTAAAAAGTGAATAATACATGCTACTACTCCAGGTGAAATAAACACCTAACTTGACAGATGTATTCCAAACTATAATTCTTGTAAGACTTTTAAGTAGGGTGATCTCAAACTGTCCAAACTAGTGATAGGGTTTAAAGTATCAGCAACAGAAGTGAAAAAAGAGAGAGGTAAACAAAACAAATCTATCTAAAACCATTCTATCAAAAGAGTAGCAGGCATATGGAACAAGCTGCTTAGTAAGACAGCTGATTCAGACAGCATAAGTAAGCTTAAGAGACAGCTAGATATTTTTATGCAGAAAGTGGCTTGGAAATCACAGCAAGAGAATATAATGTTGAGATAACCAAAATGGGACATGCTTATTTTAACACAAGACTTATTTTATAGTTTGGGGTTTTCTTCTGCTTTCTTTCCATTAGGGCCATTCCATAAGCAATTCATTAATTAAGACATTAATTATATCTAATTTGCATTATCTTTCTCATTTGTGTAAATGTTTTAAATCACTAGAAGACAAAAATTTCTATTTGGATATATTTTAATTGAAATCATATCTAAGGCTCTATAAATTTCATAAATTTAATGAAAATCGTAAACTAAGCTTGATTGCTTCCCATCCCATGCTGAAATCAGAAGACATCTTGTCTACAAAAATTATTTTTTAAAAATTCTTTTTAAATAATTTAAAATTCTTTAAAAATAATTTTTAAAAATATTTTTAAAAATTCTCTGTTACTGAGAGAAGCACAATTGCTGTAGTGCTAGCAACACATTTTTTTATCTTAATGTGACCTTTTAATTTTCAGGCTGTCTAGGTTAGAGTTGCTCAAAACTGTAGTTAAAATACTGGTACAACTAGCATTCTTATTATCACCATGGGTAGAATTGGACCCGTGACAATAGTGTTTGGAATCACATGAAGAGCATGTAAAATTTAAAATAATTTTTTGAATTGGGATTGTCAAATGAAGATCCTGAATTCACAGTTAACACAGATAATTTTTAAAAAATGTCTGAAGATTTAATAATTATCATTGTTCTAATAGCAGAAGCTAAAGTATTTTAAATATCTTTAAGCAACAATAATCAAGCCTGGAACTTGGTTACAAAACAGTGAATTCCTACCCTGCACACAACCTCAAATGATGACAGAACCATAACTTCTGATACTGCTTTAGGTGTTGTTGAAGACAAGTGTTTCTAGTAAGCTTTCCATCTCCTTTTCCCAGAAAAGAATTTTTTGCTAAAGAAAAATTAAGTTCTTTTTCTATCTTAATCACACATATCATTTTTCTTACCCTCCTTCAACTTGGCTTATGACTAGAGAAGCAATTTTATTTATCCTCTTTCAAAAGAGAAAAGTTGCATTGGGCTAAGAACCCTAATCATCCTAAACATGACAAGTAATCATGAGCACCACATAGCTCCACATTTGTCACTGCAATGACCTGAAATCCCATAAGGTACTCAGTGCAGCTTCAGTTTTCATAATATGTCCAAGATTTTATTACAGCATCCTTGAGACGGAAGAGTTCATTCAAGTAAACAAATTGATATTGTTACTATTTGTAATTATATTCAGGGAGAACAAAAAAAAAAAAAAAAAGAGAGAGAGAAGAAAAAAATGTAGTTTATCTCTCTATTCCCATTCTTTTTTTTTCTCAGTAAAAAAATTCACATAAACATCCACTGCTGCAGTTCAGTGGTTGACAGTACTTAACATCCACAGTTCAATATATGTTTAATAAGAACATGTGAATTCATATAAGCCACAAATACACTGTTTCTTGATGAATAGGGTTCCTCATCTAGATATAATGATGAAGGCAAACCTGCATTATAGGTAAATTCTTTGCATTATAATGAAAATAAGCAACAGGACTGGTTGGTTTAATATGCTGACTAGATTGCATATATTTTGACCAGATTTGGGTTTATTGCTGCTGGACAAACTGCTGTTTGATCACTGGCCATACAGTCCTTTTCTAAAAAAACACATATTTTTAATTTGAGTAGTAAGTAGTTTCCTAGTGAAACTTTAAAGATTTTAGAGCTCTTTCATGGCTATACTTGATAGATAGAAATCCAGAGGTTTTGTCTTTGTTTCACACAAAACTGAGAGAGTAAGACACACACTCAAATAGCTTCTTTAAAAAAAATATCCTGTATGGCATCTTTACACAGATCAATGTCCAATTATAAGCAGAGAGTTGCTGTGGCAAAAGGTCAGGAAAAAATAATCTTTCCGGCATTTATTACTTGGAAAATAAGGTCACATATGAGGTCAACCTTCAAATACATACAGAATAAATTATACTGCTGCATTCTAAATATCCTACACAGCAAAAATTATACTGCAATCTCAACATAATCAGAAAAATTAAGTTGAACATGTATTTTCTGGTGACTGTACTACAGACCAGACTCAGCTAGGAGGCAAAAAACCTAGGTCCAATTAATCAACAACTAATAAAAAGCTTATCATATATTTCTACATAATTATAAATATAATTTCTTATTAAGGCTGATTGATTTAATAATCTCTTAACTGTCTCTAACACTGAATCACCTTCCCCACAACAAAGTAAAATAATGGCAAATGTACAAAACATTTAAAAATAATTCAATGGTGCACTTCTTTACTGCTTACAGCCTAGAAGCAAAACACAAATGCACACAGTGCTGGAGTGCTCAGTCTGTCTGATGCTTTAAAAAAAAGAAGTGCCTCTTTTGAAATAAAAGGCCTTCTAATTAGATAAAACACATCTGGAAAAAAATGAATTGGACACAGTTTGAGGAAATAAACATGCTTGTTTGTCAGAATGAATGCTGGCAGAATGTCCAGATGTAAGTCATTGTCCTGATATAAGTAATTTTAGCTCTTTCACAGACCCTCATTTTTGGTACCTTCACAGAACATGAATAAAAGTATATTGAAAATCAGATTATACTATTATTTGACACTTCTCACACTATCATTAATTGTGAAATCAATATTACAAATAGGAAAATGCATCCATGAAATGAAAACATCTTCAGATTAATTTTTACTCTTTTGATATCCCCAGACTCTCTTCTTTTCCTCTTCTCCAAACTACATGCGGAATGTAAATGACTGGCATTCTTTTATCTGCTGCAGTCATGTCTAGTTTGAATTTCCAAATCATGCTTTGGCAGAAGGACTGTATATAATATATCACAGGCAATGCCAGTGGAGATAAAGTATATTCTAATTATTTTTAAAAACTCTTATTTTTTTTAATCTACTTTGGACACTTGTGGTTTCATTTCATGTTCATTCTGAAAGATACTAAGTGTTCTTTGCTCTGGGCTAGTGACAAGATTTACTGTTTTGTCTGATAGTGTTATCGGTGGGCTATTCCACCCTGATAACCCACAACTGCAATATTAATAGGTTTATAATGACGTTTTAAACTTTACGGTTTTGTAAGCATTGGAGGCTTCACTCACCTTGTTCAAGTGGTTGGCTTTTAGTTGAAGTAGTTTTCATCTTGAGTGCCTCCCTAACAGACATGTCACAGCAGGAGCCTTTGTTAGTGTCTTGGTCACTGTCAGCCTGATCACTGTCCCCATGCCCGCTGTCCCTCAAGCTGGCTCTTTCTGGATCCTTGAACGTGGAGCTACTGAAATACATATTAAAAAAAAAAAAAAAAAAAAAGAAAGAAAGAAAAAAGAGAGAGAGAGTTGTATTTACTTGTTCTAAGTTGAATTGTACTCTCTGGCAAAGCAATTTTGACAAGAATGCAAATGGGGAAGCCGAGAAAGTTATTTAATAGGCCTTACCTTTGAACAAACTGCTGCCTGCTGCCCATGTAATTGGGCTCTGCGGGAAAATTGTCTGTCTGTGAAAGAGAAGGAAAAAAATACGTATAGTTGTACACTGGACAAATCTCCTGCAGAGCAACAAGATTTCCTAGAGGAGAAATGATTAATAATTCAAAAATTCCCTTAATCTTCAGATTTGTACATTTTAATTAAATTGGAAAATGCTGGCATGTAATTATGTGCTCAGAACAATTAAATGATTCCGGTCCACAAATTACCTGCTAAAGTAAACAATGAGGCTCCAATAAGTGGCATTCTCTGTTAGTACCCAGACAGATGACACTGTTTATGTTTTTTCATTAGTTAGATATTAAGACTGATGGTTATTGAAAATGAGAGAAAAAATTACTTTTGCATATTACAAAAGTGAATTATTCAATAATACTAATTTTTAATCATAATTACATTATCTGCTGGGATTCTGAAGCTCTTACTGCTGTAATGAAATTTCATATACTGCTATCTTACTCTTGAATTGAAAAAATAAACAAAAAATCGAGAAAGTTTATGGCTGAATAGCTATGGTGTTTCTTAGATGCTACTGGAAAAATGAAAGTATGAAAATATTTGGATTTTCTCTCCTTAATTTTCATCAGTATTAATAGCTATGTCAGAATAATGAGAGTCACACATGCAAACAAGAACATTAAATGATCACTGTTGACAAGTAGTTTTTAAAAGAATATACTTTCATTAAGTCTGTCACGAGTATATTTTTAGCAGCATGAGCCAAGTAACTGTAGAAGCAGAAGTATTAAAAGCATCCAGACCAACATGGAGTCCTGCCAAAGCGAACTGAATTCCCCTTGTATCATTAGCTGAAGTTCCTTGGGAGAAAGAGAGACTGCATCATTCAGAAAACTCCGTATACTGTACATTCACATACGTCACTTCTTGCAGCTGACCTAGCAACAGAGCTTCTACTGTTTTCTGCATCACTTCATATCACCCCTCTGTGGTCTGCAGAAGATCTGAGTTCTGCAACAGCATCCAGAATATCAGCATCAGTAACATGGGCAGCACTCAATTAATGGAGCAGAAGGCCCAAGGTAAGGTTTAATGTCACACAGCAATTGTTTACACAAGCAACTGGTCTCACAGATATCTGGTTTTCCCTGTCACTCCCCCTCCCCACCCCACCATTGTTTTACCTTTGTTTTGGTTTTATCAGTGGGAGGTAATCAGAAATATTTGCTACTTCTTGTGCGGTTGGAATATTGGAGCTTGGAAAAGAGGCATGAAGTTTCATCCAAAATTTAAGTAATGTTGTTTGCAACAGAACATAGGCAGACCCCTTCCACTCTCAAGGGACTTGTGAAACAGATGTGCTTATAGAAAACTATCTTCCATATAGCATATATGACAATGTACACCATACTTTCTTCTTGTTTCTAAAACCCTTTAGTTCAAGAATTAAAATTATAACACATGTTCACATCCTGATGAGAAGATCCTGGCTTTAATATACACAACTAGAATAAAAGTTTATCTTTACATTTATTTATTATGTATCAAGTTAGAACAAACATTGAAAATAGAAAAAAAAAAAAGAATGTGTAAAGATAAATATTTCAGCATTCATATGTGTAGTTTCTCAAATGCAGCACATCATATTTTGGAAGTATCTTTAATTCTGCCGTTTATTCTTTTCTTCTCACAAATTTTAAGCTAGTATATCCCTTCTGTGTAGCATATATATACACAAATAATCATTATGACACTCACAGAGCCAATACTTATCAACCCAAATAAACCTTTACAACTGCAGAATTCATGTCTATTTTCTACGTCTAATATCTCAAATAGAGACATCCAGGAAAACTGACCTTATGCTTTTACTTACATAAGACATCTGTCTCCTCCTAAACACAGCTGCTACTAGAATCAACATTTCCATTTTTCGTGACATTGGCAGTCAAAATATCTGCTATAAACTGCCTTTTCATCAATTCTCTGCCATTAGAAAAGTCACAATTTTGCCCTGGAAATAATTATAGCTTCTCCTTTCTGATGGTGCTAGGAGCTTAGTTATAACCTGGACCATAGTTAGAACTGGTTATGCTTTTTGTCTCTGTTTTTTTCATAGCAAAGAAGCATTTCACACATCCTGGACTAGCCAATAGAGAGATTTTAAAATAGAAGCTATGACCACATCTTAGCTGCTGTCCTAGAAATGGATGTCTTTCTGAGAAATTCTGTATTTACGGTAATTATTAATGATCTTTAACTAGATAATAATTGACCAATTTACTTTATATTGCATTTTGCAACAATACAATGAGTTGGGTGCCATGTTACAGCAAGTTCATTACTGCAAAAGAACAAATGTAAATACTTGATAACCATATAGAGACATAGAACTCAGAGCTGAATACTTTTCTTTCTTCTCTAAAAGCATTATTCCTTCTCCTATGAATTATGAAAATACGATGCTTGTGTTGAATTGTAACAGAGCGCTCTGAGACACAGGCAGCAAAGGGAGAATTGTTTTGTGTATGTTAATATCTATCAAAAATTGTGATAATAAGCAAACACTTAATTTTAAGGATAGGTAGTTTGGAGGAATCTTAGAAATGTAAGCATCTGCTTCACAATGGACTAGAGAGAGAGATGAATGTTTAACTCCCTTAAATTTTTTTTTTTTCTTTTATAATCCCAGTTGAAGTCAGAGGTCATATACTTAAAATTTTTACACTTTAATCTATGGAAGTGATATTATACCTTTCAGCTCATGCATTAATCATAGCTCTTTACATTGCATAGCTCTAACTGTAAGAAAGGAGTTCTACTTTAAAAATCTATTGACAGCAAAAAGTTCTTGTTCTTCTGGATATACAGCCCTTTCCTAGGATAACAGAATGTCCAAGGCTCTGTACCTCCAGTTCTAAGGCAGGTTTCAGTTCACTTGCAGAAAACCGTCTAAAAGCTAGTCAACTATTCTGAGCTAATCAGTCAAGATCCCTCAATGTGCGTCAGAGACATACAGGATAATTCATCCCATTTTGGTCATCTAGCTTTGGTACATACTGCTCCTGGAAATTACTTTCACCAATAACCGTAAGACAATCTAGATGACCAGCAAGATATTCAGTGGAATAGTTAAAGTTAAGTAAGATGCATCAAATGAGAAATGAATTGTATGGAATTACAATCTCCCGAGAAATAAACAAAAATTATCCAAATGCCAGAACCATTAACCTCCTGAAGAACAAAATAAAACAAACTTCATCCTCTCCTTTCCCCTCCCCCCAAAAAAATCTCCAGAACAATCCATCCCCGAAAGTCACTGGAGTTAAAGAGTAAAGAAATATTTTCTATCTCTGTGGTTCAAGATTGAGGGCTGGAGTCTTAACTAGGTCATCAGCTTCTAAAACACAAGTTCTCCAGCAGTAGGCAATCATACTACAACAAATGTTCTCTAAAATTAAAACAAAAGAAGAAATGTCCACTGCCCAAGTAGATACCAGAGAATTAACGTCTGTGATGTCAACCTAACTGTCCAAAGCTACCCTAGAGGAGTGGCCCTGTTTTTATGGCTCATTTTCACAGATTAGTGGAACCAGCTCATTTCTGCTGAGAGTATGCTGTTAAACCATTCAACAGATAATCTTTTTTGACAGTTCCTACAACAGATCTTTAAAAATACTTTCTTCCACCTATCTGTTCTAATATGTGACTTTAGAGTAAACATGAAATTTTAGGAACATTGTTGTTAGTGTGATGTTGCAGAAAAATGTCTGAGGATTTCTGTACACACATTTAATACAGCTTTCTCAGAAAGATAAAGCTCTTTAAAAAAAAGTAATCTTAAAAGAGGTCAGAATGCATATGAACCTTTCAAAACCTGCCAAAATTTAAAAGAAAAGAGGATTACTACCTTTCAGAAAATGTCAATTTTGTTACCTTTTTCATCAGTGAGTTGAGGAGAAGAAAAATAAAAGATCAGGCAAATTAAATCTATGTAAAATACACTTTTCATAGAACCATCAAATGGGTTGGGTTGAAAGGGACCTTAAATATTATCTAGTTCTATCCCCTCTATCATGGTCTGGGACACTTTCCACTACTCAGGTTGCTTGGAGACCGATCCAGCTTGGCCTTGGAAACCTCCAGGTATGGGACACCCACAACTTCTCTGGGCAACATGAATTGGTTGGAGTTACTGGTATGGAGTTTCAAATGTGACAACATAATCGCTAGAGTCTAATAATGTGACTTTAAAAATTGTTAACTGGTCAATGTTTGTATGAATAACACAAACAATATCCTTCAAGTGCTATCATTAACTGTCTACAAAACCATTCATTCTATTGCTCATGATAGACCTTGCATATTATCTAGGTCCCACACAGGGACCTAGATAAACTGAAATTGGTGAATTTGGAATACTGAATTTTATAGAGCCAAAAACATTCAGAAGTTTGAAAGTAAACAGTTAAGTTTCTACTAATTAATTCTGGAATGGCTATGGTTTCCAAAAGTTTCATTTAGAGAAAGGAAAATGAAAAATTATGGCCAAGAACACAGTATGAGAAACAAATTCTTTATAGGATCCATTAACCTTAAATAAACTCACAAGAAAAAAAAAAAGTAAAAACCTCATAATTGGAAACAGTTTGAACAAGCCTGGGTCAAGCATTATACTATGAATTATAGGAATTTTTTTAGCAATGGGCTACATTTATCTTTTGTTCCTTCTTTTATCTTTTCAGAAATTCATGTTAAAAAAGTGTATGTGTTTACTACTCCTGAAGTATGATGACATTTGTATAAATAAAAAGGAGTTCTACTGTTGTTCTACACACACTTTTTTTTTTTTTCCAAAAAAAGTCAGGTTTAAAATTACTGTCCATATTAATCAATCAGATTTCAAGAATACTACTATTACTCAGTAAGACAACAGTAGAGAACTTCACAAAGCTTCTGTTTTCAAGAATTACTGGAAAAAAAGCACTGTCCATTAAAAATTAGAAGTTCCTAGCTATTTTTCTGCTTTTTTTGTCTTTTCAATAAAAGT